AGGTAGAGGAGGAGGCCAGCGCCAAAGGGGCCAGGCCATGGGAGGCCGAGGACCGGGCGCACAGGGGGTTGGCGGACAGGGAAACCGCCAAGCGGGAGGTAGGGGTCAAGGTCCCCCGTTAAATCGCCAGGGTAATCGGTCCCCACAGCGAGGAGGTGGAAGGGCACCTCAAGGAGGATGGCACCCAGGCTTGCCACAGGGCAGGCCCTGGGAAGACTTGGGCTTGGACCAGCGATTATGGCAGGAACGCGTGAACATGGGTTAGTGCGTATTCTGTGGTGACCCGGCGCACGTAATTAAATTTTGTCCAAAGTATAGATAGGGCCGTTGGGCTGCTCAGCAGGCACAACTGCCCCTACTTCCAGGCCATGTGGAGAAGTGAACGCGCGCGAACAGGACACTCCCAAACCACATGAGCCTATGGCAGAGGTTGCAGGCCCGTGCTTAGATAGCTGTCCAGAGACCGCCTGTGTTAGCGTCTCTTTAGGCACGTCCCTCACAGGTGTGGCAGAAGAGTTAAAGGAGAGGATGCCAGCCTGGGCGAAAATGAAAAAGGAGAGTAAAGGACAGCTGATTTTGGTAGATGTAGATGTTTTTAGAAGTAGAGTAGGGGTCCTTATAGACTCAGGGGCTACCCGTAGTTACATTAGCCGTAGGGCGCTGAAGAAGCTGAGGCTAGGACTAAAGGTCCAGAAATTAGTAGACCCCATAGTCAGTGTCCTCGCAGACAACCGCACGATGCGAGTTGAGGACTACGTGGAGGGAATCCAGACGTACTTTTGCCTAGAGAAGAATGGAAAAGTGGAGAAGGTCCTCCTTTCTTTGACTCTCCTCGTGCAGGATGACCTTCCTTTCGATATAGTGTTAGGAATGGATTGGGGAGAGGCAGCAGGGGACAAACTTCATTTGAGAGAGCATGAGTGTAGGCTCCCTAAATACAGGCACTATGAGTTCATAGTGATGCCCTTTGGACTAACCAACGCGCCAGCTACTTTTCAGCGTTGTATGAATGACCTGTTTAGACCGTGGTTAGATAAATTTGTAGTAGTCTATTTAGATGATATCCTAGTCTTTAGTAAGACCCTCCAAGAGCACCAGGGTCATCTGAGGCAGGTCTTGGAGAAGCTTAGAGAGGCTAACTTCAAGATCAACGCGAAGAAGTGCGAGTGGGCCAAGACGCAAGTCTTATACTTGGGCCACGTGTTGGACGGAGATGGCATTAAGCCAGAGGACAGGAAGATCGCGGTGATTAGAGACTGGCCGACGCCCCCCACATTGACAGAGTTGCGATCGTTCCTAGGCTTAGCTAACTACTATAGGAAGTTCGTGAGGAACTTCTCCACTGTCGCCGCCCCCTTGCGCAAACTGCTAAAGAAAGAGGCAATCTGGCAATGGGACAAAGACTGTACGTCTACGCTCAAGAAGTTAAAGCGCGCGTTAATAGAATATCCTGTCCTCAAAGTAGCAGATCCGTCCTTGCCATTTGTCGTTACCACGGACGCAAGTCAGTATGGGATAGGCGCCGTGTTGCAGCAAGACGACGACAATGGCTATAGACCCGTAGAGTTCATGTCAGCGAGGATGCCCTGTGAGAAGGTCGCTACCTCCACGTACGAGAGAGAACTCTACACTCTCAGGCAGGCTTTAGATCATTGGAAGCACTATCTGCTTGGGAGGCACTTCAAAGTGTATTCTGACCACAAGACACTTCATTGGTTAAAGACAGGCCAAGATGACACCTAAGTTGACGAGGTAGGCCGCTGAGATAGACCAATTCGACTTTGAGCTCAAGCCAGTGAAGGGCAAATACAACGTAGTTGCGGATGCTCTGAGTAGGAGATCAGACTACTTTGGAGCCGTAGTACACTATCTGGATATAGGGAGAGACCTGCAGGAGAAAGTGAGACAAGCGTACACGCAGGACCCTATTTATAGTGACCTCCTAAAGAGAGTTAGAGAGGCCCCTGAGACAGAACCAGATTACAGCACTACAGACGGGTTGCTGTTTGAGAAGACTAATGTGTTTGACCGCCTGTGCGTTCCCAACAGCGAAGCGATTCGTAGTCTGATTCTGGGGGAATGTCACGATACTGAGGGACACTTCGGTTGGCAAAAGACGTTAGCCAATCTGATGCGTGCGTACACATGGCCAGGGATGAAGAACGACTGCATAGAGTACGTCCGCAGTTGTAAAGTATGCCAGAGGAACAAATCTACTACATGCGCGCCCCTAGGTCTTCTCAGACCCTTGCCTATTCCRGATCAGCCGGGAGACTCAGTGTCCATAGACTTCRTGGACACGCAAGTCAAGAGCAGACATGGTAAGAGCCAAGTCAYGGTCATAGTCGACCGTTTTAGTAAGTATGCAGTTTTTGTTCCTTTGCCTGCAGAGGCACGTACAGATTTAGTAATACAGAAGTTCTTTGACTTTTGGGTTAGTGAGAATGGAATCCCATTGTCAGTAGTTAGTGATAGAGATAGTCGTTTCACCAGCCAGAACTGGCAAGAACTCATGAGAGTCTACGGATCTAAGTTGTTAATGTCGTCCGGCCGTCACCCGGAGACTAACGGTCAGACAAAACAGATGAACAAGATCCTACAGCAAGTTCTGCGCATGTATATTAGACCAGATCAGATCAACTGGGATGAGATGTTGCCCAAGGAGACTATCCACCTGTCGCACTCCCAATGAGTTGCACAAGTCCTTTAGACCGCGGAGACCGTTCGAAGGACTGAACCGGGATCAGATTCACAGATTACCGCCCGGCACCAGGGAGTTTGCAATACAGCACGAGAAAGAACTAGCAACTGTTGTTGAAAACCTCAGGAAGGCCCAGCATAAGATGATAGAACAAGCTAATAAGCACCGCCGTCCGTCGCAGTTTCAGGTAGGCGACTTAGTCTGGGTCAAGGCTAAAGAGTTTGCACCTGAGGAAAACATCTCGCAAAAGTTACTGCCCGCATATAGAGGACCGTGGCCGGTTCTAGAAGTCAAGGGCGGAGAGGAKGGACCGTCCTATAGCATTGAGATTCCAGCACACCTCCACACATACCCCGTGTTTCATGCTTCAAAGCTGCTACCGTGTGTCACAAGTCAACAGTTCCCTTCGAGAAGATCCGTGATCCCCCCGGATATGGATGGAAGTTATGACATTGAAGGCATTAGATGAGGATGTGTTCAGAACAGGAGGTAGAGGTCGTCCCCAGAAACAATATAAGGTCCGTTTTGCCTATCAGGAACCGGAAGACGACCGTGGGTTCACGAAAACAGAACTTCTAGAAACCGCTCCCGACATAGTCAGAGCCTATGAACGTGACAAGAAAGGTAAAGGTCCCGCCTTGAACTGAAATGTTCTCGGAGGACCTCGAATCTAGGACGGCGGGAGTGAAACGGTTTTCACCTTTTAGCAGTAGCGGATGCAGTACCCAGGGTTCGATCCCTAGACCTCACCCTACCCATGTACAGTATCTGTGTAGACCCCGAGAATTGAACCTGTGACCTGTGTATTCGTAGGCAGTTGGTAGGCCTGTCGTAGGTCCATAGGCAGCAGGGGTTCAATCTGTAGGTCTATAGCATAGGAGTCTTAGTGAGTTCCGGAAGCTTAGCTGTAGACCTTCTAGAAGGTAGGCCAGTGGGCAAGTGGTCAAGTGGTGAGGCAAGCGGTGGACTAAACCGCAGTGCAGCAGCAGTACAACGTCGGTAGGATAGCGGTGAGTCCACAGTCAGTCAGCGGAAGGTCCAGTCAGTCCCAGTCCGGTCCAGCAAGTACCACAGGGGGACTGTGAGCACCAAGGGCCGATGGCAAAGGGCAGACCAACGAGTTTCTGAAGTATAAATCAAGAGGCAGCGCCCAGCCATTCATTCATT